TTTTCCGTCCCGTTTTTGCTCATATCAATGTCTTCCTAATGCAAAACTCGTGACGCTCTGTAAACGGCAAAACGCACAATTGGGTACAATCAAACGTTTGAATCTACAGACAAACACTACACAAACTCGTGTAAATATTTATCACCCAGCTAAACCAACAACTGTGCAAAGACCAGACCAAAATCACTTGGCTTATCACCGAGAGCGCTTAACTATCACCGAAATTGCACGTCACTAGTCTTGATTGCATTCTGATGATGTAATTGCGCAAAGTTTCGTAAAATAATAAAATAGCCCAATAAAGTTCAACAATTTGAAAAACCGCATTTAGTCTCCCAATGGTCCATCCTAAACCGAATTAACTTTTTCGCAGGTCCGAGTTATAAACTTAAGTTCGCAAATGGATTTTATCTGTGGTGGATTGGCGGCAAGTGGAGCCTGCCTCTTCAGCAACCCGTTCGACGTCTTGAAAACTAGAATGCAACTGCAAGGCGAGTTGCAAGCCAAAGGCCAGCACAAGGTATTTTACAAAAATGTATTTCATGCTGGCTATGTGGTGGCTAAAAATGAAGGTATAAAAGGATTGCAGAAAGGATTGGGAGTCGCGATGTTCCTCCACGGCATCAGGAACTTTGTCAGGCTTGGTAAGCAGTGGATTGCACGATAACATATATTTTTTTTGTACTTTAGTTTCTCTTTGCTTGTTGCAGGTATTTACCAAACACTAGATAACAAGGGTCTGCTCACAGATTCTTCGGGTAAAATAGTGGTGTATAAAAGTGCGCTTGCTAGCGCGTTTGCAGGAGCCAGTGGGGCCTTTTGCGGCAGCCCGCTCTTCCTGATCAAAACCCAATTGCAGTCGCACGCTGCCGAGAAAATTGCTGTTGGCCATCAGCACGGACATAGTGGAGCCCTTCGAGCCCTTAAGACTATTTATCGAAATAATGGTGTGAGTACTTAAAACATAGGAGATAAATGTAGTTGGAATGGAATTTTCTTATGTTGCTCTCGTTTTGTTCAACCCTTCAGATATCAGGGTTATGGAGAGGAGTGAGTGGAACAATGCTTCGAGCAGTGGCCGGTTCCACCTCTCAATTAACGACTTTCGCAGCCTCCAAAGATAAACTTAGAGAGAATGAGTACTTGCGAAACTCCACAGTACTGACGTCGATCATTGCCAGTCTTTTCAGCGGGATCATCCA